AAGTCCAACAGCTAAGATTTAATACTACCTTTCGTCTAAATATAAGATTTTGTTTTTAATCTATAAAAAGGTCTTATTATTAAGACCTGCAGTAGCATATCATAACAACATTATTATAATGCTAATTAATAAAAATAAATAAAAATAAATAAAATTTAACTTATACTATTCAAGAGTTTAAAAAAATATTCTAATAAAAATCTATCAAGCTGATATGTGCAGCTTATATTTGTGATTTAATTAATATTATAATAATATATTAAATCTCAGCATGTTAATCTAATAATGCAAATGGTAAGTGAGAAGGCCTGATTCCTTAAATATGATGTCTTGAGTTCCAATCAAATCGTGTCCATAACAAAACTTTGCTGCGCGAGATAAAACCCCGCTTCAATAATTTCTGTGTTTTAGGAGAATTAGTCTCGGGATACCATTTAATTTCTAGTAAGAAAAATGGTAAGTGAGGAAGAAATAGAGTAGAACTTAAGTAAAAACTTTCCTTCATGGGATAAATTGGGCTTGAACGGAATGCGATTAAAACCTGGTCTCATGAAATTAAAGAGAATATGATGCTCTTGAATGAAGAAAAATATCTAACGGAAAAGTCATTCAGAAAATCGTTAGATTCTATCCTATCCCCCCTTTTTATTTAAAAACTACACGTGCACATCTTTCCGCCTTTTTGCTTTCCAAGGGAGATCAGAACCATCTACATTTCTAATGTCGTGACAGAAATTAAGGGGGTGTTTGGCAAAACCAAAACCTAGGTTTCAGAATCACTTTTCTGCAAAACGAGGTAACTTCCTCCACATATTTACTTCGTAATCCGTAAAAGCACTTCTGAAACCATGGTTTGGTTTCTATCCAAACACCCCTAAATCGTATTCTCACGTGAAACATTTAACCATAATTATTGTCATGTAATTGAATAAAACAGACAAACATATTGATATAAACATATACTATAGTTCTTAATATAATAGTAGTTAACTATTCTGACTTAATAATTATGACCGAACTTCCTTAAGGTATTATCGTGTAACATCATATTATATAGATAAATTAATTTAAGAAAAAATAAAAAATATTTAGGATCAAATTATTTTCTCCACAGGCTCTCATGCTTTGAATTGTAGTAAGAGCATGTTGCAACAAATTTTATGATAAAAGGTGTAAGCTCGTGTCAAAATGTTCGATCTAGTTAACGAGGCATGCTTGTGGGCGTGTGGGAGAGCGTGATTGCTTCGGGAGGAAGTAAAGGGGGAAAATGGGATATTTTGGAGGAGAAAGGGGGAGTGGAGAGCAAAGCCTGGTAAAGGGGCAAATTGGCGAATGGGGAGTGCTAATTGTTTAGTGGCCGCTGAAAAGGCTAAGCTTTGATCACTTTTTTTAACAGAAAACGACGCTTCCTTTGTGTTATTCCCACTTCAATGTGTCTTGTCTCTTTCTCTTTTCCCCGCCACCCACTTCCCCTTTACAGTTTTGGGCCTTCCGCATCTCTTTCCCACTTGGGATCTATTTGAACATGTTTTTATTTTTTTTTACTAAAACATTAGTATCTTCTTATCAGAAATAACTTTATTCGAGTTATTGTCAGGTAGTAAATATGAGTACCTCTTCCAGTAAAAATTCGAATCCTGATTCGATTTGAACTTGCTTTTGTGAAAAGTGTTTTATAAGCACTTTTACAAAACAATATTATCATCATACATTTATCTCGTATTCTGTAAATTATTATTGTTTTGAAAGATTCAGTTGCAATTCCAAATAAGCCATTAAACACTTCCTTATTACTACCTCCAGTCCTAATTATAAGAGCTAATTGACTAATTTGAGGATATTAAAGAAATAAGTTAAGTTAGTTATTTGTAATAAATATGTGTTGTGTTTCCTAAAATATCCTTACTTACTAGGTTGATTGGCTAGAATTACCATTATTAGAAGGTTTACTTTAGAAAAAATGTATAAATACAAAAAACAAAGTGGATTGAGATCTTATAATTAAGAGTAAAATAAAAATTAAATAAAGTTTTATGTTAAAGACAGGAGGTAGTATAACTATAATAGTTTATGTAACAAATTGCCCCCCATATTCGCATTGTGGCCCCGCTGATTAATGCTGGAAAGACACTTGTGTCTTCAATTTCATGTATTCAACTAGTCATTGTTCTGCATATAAACAGCAAAAGGATCAACATTTTTAAAGTTAACAATTGCTCGAGATATTTTATTCTGCGTCATAATTAAAATAAACATATTTTTTTCTTAAAAAAGCAATCTGGAAAAAAAGATATTTTAATTTTTTGGATAAAATTGTTTAATTTTGAAAAATGATGGATCCAATCTAAATTAAAAACAAAAAAATCATCCATGGTCACCCTAATCACACGTGGATCGCCTCAGGCTATTCAACAAGCAGGGTCAAGCGAGTTTGCGGGGCTACTAGTTTGCATACTTCACGGGCCTAATAGCAGGGACCCGTTAAATTTGGGCCTTTCTAAAGCCCTAATGAGCTCAGGATTTTGGCCCAATTCTACACCGAGCTTTTGTTACTTTCATCAAGTAAGAGTGGGCCAGCTTACAGAGGGCTTTGCCCACCTGTGTTTACTCAAGTCATGCAAGTTGCCCCCCACAAAAAGATGAATAATATACAATGTAGTTGACAGATAAATTTAATGTTGGGCATTATTTAAATAAATATAAATTCAAAAAATATTCCAAATTGGAGTTTCATTTTTATAAATGGTTTTCATATGGAAAGCCATACTGGTTTAGAATTAGATTCATCGTTGTCGTGAAAACTTAAGCGACTTGTAAACGAGCAGCTGCGATATATTTTTAATCAGAGAACGATCGAGCCAGAGGCGAGAGCACGTGGCACACCCTACGGTAAAGAGGTTCACATTTTATTGCATCATTTCTTTCATCCTAATTTTATTACAATGTAATTGCCAGATCGATGGAAATATGACATGCATGCGTGTGTGTGTGTGTATCGATGGATATGACATGCATGCGTGTGTGTGTGTGTAACCAATAATCCACGGAGCAATCATTCATTTGACTTTATCAATTTGGAAAAAATGGTTTTTTCTTGCATGACAAATAACATTGCGTGCTGTGGTGCACATGGCTTGTATAAATCAGGATAATCATAAAAGCTTTATGAACATTCCAATGCGAATTATTGGTAAGGTAGACATTCCTTTCAAGTTTTTATTAATGTCTGAAGAAACACTTGAAATGCTGGCAGCGAATTACAGGTTTGTTTGAAATGTCTTATAGATAACTTATAAGTAATTTTTTAATTATAGTTTATAAAATATGAGATAAGTATGTAAAGAGAGTTTTGCGTCAACTTACGTGAACGTGTTTACTCATCATCAATCTAACAAAGTCTACATAAGTTTGGGTGGGCGTAGGTTTTGAGTTGTTTGGTTGATATTAAAAGGACGAAGGGTTCTTATCCACATAGATAATTAGGAAACCTATATTCGTATTTTTGGCCTAACCACATGAAGTATACAACTTTCTCATGAACTCTCTTATTGAGTTGAAGCATGCCCTAAATTATTTGAGTCGCCCATAATCTATAACATGGGGAGATCGATGAGAGCATAGCACGCATGTGGAGACTCCACAGTACAGGTACGTTTGGGGTCTTGTGTGTGTGTATAAAAAATAATGCTGCTCACCCACTTTTGTCAAGTGTCAAAATCTGATAACGAAAGAGAACCATATATACGCAGTGGGCGACCCCCATCAAGTGCCTCCTGTACGTAGATCCTAGAGCCAAGTTTGGTCCTCAAACCTGATTCTCTGACGGCGAATTCTTGTCCATATCATGCCTTGCTAGCTGATGACGGGAGAGACTTTCACACTTTATAAATTAAACCAGTCTAACCTGGTTCTCTTCACCCTCAGTTTATGTAAATTAACCACAAATTAGTCTTATATGGATATAATTAACAGCGTCAGCAATTCTGCACAAGACAGAGACAGTATTTTCCAGCAGCGGCGTCATGGCGTAATAATTGAACGCCTGAATTCATGACCCCTTATTGAGTGTTGACGGACTAAAACCAATTATATACGGCAAATCCTCACTATACTTTTCTTCATTACTGCAGGAACTATATATATATATATATATATATTCTCTCAGAATATTTCGGATTATTATCTATCATGTATGTTTGAGGGCAAAATAAATAAATGAGACAAAATAGATTAAGATCTTATATTTAGAATCAAATTGACAAACTAATTCTTGTATTAAAGAATGGAGGAAGTAGTGTGCATTATTGCATGCGCTGTTATTTTCAAAAACCGTAAGTTTTTCATACACTAGAAGCTCTTTGGCGGCGAGACGGCTTGAATTAATAAAAATGACTGCCTAATCCTAATTCCTTATAACGCCCACCTCTTCTTTTTCCCAACGGAACACATCCTAATTTTCGGTCCTTTTTAATTCAACAGAAGACAAAATATATTTTCATGTAAATTAAAATATTGAGATTTTTTAGGCCGTGACTGTTATCTTAGATGTTCATTGTTACCTGACACAGTTTATCCTTTTTTTATTTTTTAATTATATGTTTTTAACATATATACAATGTATTTAATTGTGATTTTTTTAAACTGAAATGAGTCCTTTTAAAAATGACTTAGTAAGGATATATACTTGAAAGTTTTATTTAAATAATGAATATATTTATAACTTAAATTGTAAATTAAGTTTAAGTTTTAAGATAACCTTTTTTTTGGTATTTTAGATATAAGTAATTTCATATATTTTTTATCCATGAAATTCATGTAAATTACTCCAGCGTGAAGGGGAGATTTTTTTAAATATACGGCGAACCGAGTCAAAGCATTGAAATCAAGTTTTTTTATAATTGACTTCCATTTATGAGAAAAAGTTAAAGGATGGCTACGTCCCGTTCTGCTATAAATGCCGAGGCACCGGATACGTGAAGCTGCGAAGCTCAAACTCTTTCTGCTATTCGTTTCTCTCTGATCACTCCGTTGCATTTGGCAGAACTTCTCTGCCCGAGCACAGCCTTGAAGATGGTGGCCAGAGCAGCATTAGCTCGTAACATCGTTGGCATTTTAGGTTTGTGGGCTGGTCATATCAGATCAATCAACTCTTTCGATCTGCGTATTTCACTGGTCTTCCGCTGCTCGAATTTCTCTGACTTTAATCCTGAATATAAATGTTCCATTATTTTTTCCCTGTTACTGGATAATATGCTGAAGGTTAGATAATTTTCTCTCGAATTCTCTGTTCGACATTGAGAAGAGGGAGTCGCGTACTGGTTTTGTGCGCCATCGGATAGGCATGACTTTACTTGCTTTGAACCCTAAATTTTGGGGATGCATAGAGATGATGTATTGGGAAAAAAAAACCGCCTACTCCGATTTCAACTCGATGATTGAAAATTTTCATGTGTTCACGTTTGTGCAAAGACTATTTGAGATTTCTGTGTTGTGATATATTGTGTTGGTTTTCTCTGCAGGAAACGTTATCTCCTTCGGTTTGTTCCTCTCACCGGCGTAAACCTTCTCTCCTCCCTCCCTCCCCCCGCCCCTCTTGTTCTTTCATTCTTCATTTCTTTTTTTGTTTTCCTCCTTTGTTTTGCGTACATATGCATAATTGAATACTGGCCTTGTAAGCTATGCATTGCTGGAAATATTGTTGAAGTTTTAGAGAAAGAGCTCACATCGCCAATAAATCAATGAATACCACATTTTCTGAATAATATATGAATACAGGATCGATCACCTTTTTCTGATTCTAAAATCTTCGATAAAAAATTCTAGAAATTGAGAACATCTGGATTCATGAATTAGGTGAGTGCCGTAAATTCATATTTAATGAATGGGGCGTTGAAAAATACGGAAGCTTCGAGTTCGATAAATTAAGCTGTGGAGGCTCCAGGAGAAGGCATGCAAATGCAATACCAATGAATAAATGATGCATGATGAAACAAATAAAAAAAAAAAGAAATTATACAAGTAGTTTTGTCTGTCAAATTGGCTTTACACAGTTATTTCAGCTGTGTATATATTCATCAGTTATTGAATTGTTTTCAGTCCCACTTTCATTGGAATAATAGAGAAGAAGGCAGTAGAAGAATTCAAGCCAGACCCTTATCTAGCAACGGTGCTGAACTGTGCTTTTTGGGTGTTCTATGGAATGCCTTTTGTGCACCCCCACAGCATTCTTGTGCTTACCATTAACAGTGTTGGACTTGTATTCGAACTCGTCTACCTCGCCATCTTCTACACATTTGCCACCAAAAAAGGACGGGTACGTTTAGTTTTTCCCTCCTTGAATTAATGCACTTGAATGACCTGACGTCATATTTTGATTGGTTCATTAGGATACGTATGTGTGTGTGTGTGTTTTAAGTAGATTCGCTTTTTATTAGTTTTCTTCATGCCAAAACGGCTTGTAATTGCACGATGCTCACATTTTATGGAGGATATATCCGCGAGGGATGAAAGCAAGAAGGAGCTTAATAAAAAGATTAAAATTATAAAAAAAATGCGGGCAACGAATCCTCTAGAGCACAATAGGCCAAGGAATATTATAGGAGTGAGCAGAAATCCGTACGTGCTCGTCGAAGTTTGAATCGAGAATATTTCCTTCATTGAATTAATAGGGCGTTTGGGCTTTGCTTGCTGATATATTCCTTCCGTTCATGGTTAAAACTTCACCTAGAATCCCATGAATTTAGGTATATATTCGTAAACACGTGCATTGTCTTCCCTTTTATCAGTTTTTTCTTCTCTAGAGGAATCAGGTTGAGTCGTGGGCACTATAAATAACCCGTGATTCTTTTATTAGTACTCTTTATAAATTACCTTGCCTACTTTCTTTCCACAAACTGGTTCCTATCTCTGCTGGGTAAAAGCTGGTGCCCATCTTTAGTGGGTAGATGGTACCGTGAATACCTTCATTGAAATGTTTTTAGATATTTTTGGCGTCGCAAATTTTTTTTGGCGGGAGCCCTAATAAAATATTTAAATTAAAATAATAAAAAATAATATTATTTAAAATTTATGTTTTATTATATGAAATTATTAATCGCATGATAAGATGATGGATCGATTTCTTTTTTTCATTTAATTTTAAAAAACAAAGAGAAGTACTAGCATATATGTACCTTATCTCCGTGGCTGAAAAATTTACAGCAGCTGCCATATAGTCTTGCACCAGCTGTCGTGAGTCATGACTTCTAAAATTTTTGTGCCATTATTAATCTATTGCGATTTGCAAATCCTCTTTCGTCTTTTAGCCTGCTATGGCATTTCGTCCCATCATGATACACTAAAAGGACATAGACGAACAGTACCTGATGCGTTGTTTACTCTCTTTTTTCTTTTTTGCCAAAATATGTCATGTTTATTCAGTAATCAGACCCGTAAATATATTCACGGTGGCAAGAAATTTGGGTCTCTTACAGAATTCTCTAACTGCATAATTAAATATATTGTCATAAAAAACTATTAGCTGTCAAAACAAAACTAATTACGTGCGGAAAAATATGTTTAACCTAGGAATTTAAACTGTACTGTGTAACTAATAAAAAAATTTAATATAGGGAAACTTGTAAAACCATATTTTTTTATCATCTTTTAATTTGAAAAAAAAGTAAAAATTAAAATAACTCTATCTGCATATGGCTGCTGATCGATCTGTGTCCAATGGCAACCTATTTGACGCACCGCCACATTTTTTTTTGGGTGAAATGCTACGTTTTCGTATTCACATTAGTTGATCCCACTTACGCAAATACTTGTTATGTCAATATATGGTTACACTTTCCTTATGAAACTCGTCACTGGCTTGGTAATTATATATGTTGAGAAATGTTCATTGTTTCATTGCTCAATTTGTTCAGAAGAAGGTTGTGCTTGGGCTTCTGGTGGAGACCATATTTTTCGCAGCTATAGTTCTCATCACGATGCTGGCGTTGCATGGCACAAAGAAAAGGTCGTTGATCGTTGGTATTCTGAGTGATGTGTTCAATGTTATGATGTATATTTCGCCCCTCACAATCATGGCCAAGGTTATAAAGACCAAGAGTGTGAAGTACATGCCCTTTTGGCTCTCGTTTGCTAACTTTTGCAATGGTTTGTGCTGGGCAATTTATGCTCTCATCCACCCCTTCGATCTTTATGTTCTGGTACATAATTTATCATTGTATTTCAGTCTTATCTGCTAAGTATCAGCTTCTGATAATTGACCTAATGATGAATTGCTACTATGGATGATGTTACAGATTAGTAATGGTCTTGGAGCGATCTCCGGTCTTGTTCAGCTAATGCTATACGCTTTTTATCGCAATTGCCAGCCAGATACCAATGACAACGATGACGATGATACTTCTAAAAAACCAACTGACATCCAGCTCCCTACTGCAAATGGAGCACCTAGAGCCTGACCAATATCTTCGCATCACATATTAGATTTGGCCATACATGCCTCTTTCCTTTTATTTTTTGAGACCAAAAAACTGGAACTTGCTTTGATATGTATATGGAAATGACTGGAGTGAGGACTGAAGTGTAATTGCATTTATGCAAGTTATGTTCCCCGTCTTGTAATTGGGAGATCATGACTGCAGCCCAAGTAATCTTACACTTTCAATGCCAAAACCTATTGTGCATGCTTGGTAACTTTAATTGCACTATAAGTGAGGCGAACATAGTTAAATTTTACTAAATAATTTTTTAAACTAGTTATTACTGAGATGATTAGATTTGGAAAAAATCCTAACCAAAGTTGGTTATGGGTACTCCATTAAACTGGAATTAAGTAAAGTCAAAATCAAGCATCGGCACAAACAAACAAACAAAAACGATAAATGATCAAATTTGACCTGATGTCCCTAAAAGGAAAAAAAAGGGAAAACTTCGCTATTTTAGCTTTCGGCAACGGTGATGGTTGGATGGGCTGAAGCCTGAAGGTGGAGGCCTGGTCCATATCATTTGCCAAACACATCAAAGTTTTTCCCCCCCTTTCTTTCCGTTTTTTGCCCTTCTCCAGTTGGTCCAATTGGGAATTCCAATTTCCGATTACATCAGCTTTAGATATCTCACATCATCATATCTTATCCGATTCCTGACGAATGAATGGATGATCGGTGAAATCTTTCCGCGACCTTCCCTTACAAAATATAAACCCCAAATTGACTAAAACCTTATCCATTGCTTCTGCTCTTTGTCTCTTTGTTTTCAATTTCATCTTTCAAACTGGGAGTCACTACTACTTCGTCTTCGATAGTGAACGCTCATGAAATTTGTTCTCTGATATCTTGGTGTAATTTCTATGGCAGCCATTGTTCCCTGCCACTACTGTGCTTCCGCAGCTACCGCCAGATTGGCTAAGCCATACACATTCTCTAGCCGCTTTCGCTACCCACTTTCACTGGGTGATGCCGGACCTCGGTCTTTCAGCACTCGATGCTCTTACCAAGATCCCCAACCTACAGAATTCCAGAACAAACATGTAAGGCTCAAAAAATTCTGAATTTTGATCATCATGATCCCTCCGCATTCCCTTTTTAATCGAACGTTAATCTTGACATGGATGAATACGTGAGGTTGAAGTAATGATAGGTGGAATATCATCCCATCAGCGTCTAGTTCCGCCTTAGAATGTATCTTTGGGAGACAGTTCACCTTCTAATCACGTGTTCATCTGCAATATATTTTTACAAAAATGGGAATAGCGAAACTGAAAAGACAAGCCTTCCATAGACCAGGAATACAGTAGATAAAGTAATAATCTTCTAAGCGAGTTCCAGTCATATCAATATCTGAAGACCCGATATTAAATGGTGATACAGATTCGTGTTTTGGATCAAATTAATCTGCATACAATCTAAAATCTTGCGTTATGCAATGGCCCAAAAAAAAAAAAATCTTGCGTCATGTTTTCAACTGGAACTATTGTTTCAGTTACAGGTTGAAAAAGAAGTGTTAGCAAACTAGTGGTGCCCGAGTGCCCGTAATGAGGCCCCAAAAAAAAAAAAAAAATCTAGTGGCACGGTGCTGATGGCATCCGTATTATCTTCCCTTACGATTAATTGCTTAGTGTTAAACAATTGGGAACCGTGTGCATTGCTATTAATAACTTTAACCCTGTTTGTGCTGCTTTCTTGGTATGCAGAATAAATTTACCTTATTTATATCCTGGTCTTGTTGCTTTGAAAAGATTTGAAATTATTGCAATGTACGATTGGAGCCTTAACTCTTGTTTTTCTGTACCTTGGAGTAGAACGGGTGGCCATTTTCCTTAAAGCATTGTGCAATTTCTATAGCACTGGCAGTTGGTTTAGTTACGGGAGTTCCTCCCTTGGGCTGGCCTACCAATGCTCATGCAACTAGCCCTGTGTTGCCAGACCTGTCTGTGTTGATCTCTGGACCGCCAATAAAGGACCCCGGAGCATTGTTGAGATATGCTCTTCCTATAGACAATAAAGCAATTCGAGAAGTGCAAAAACCTCTTGAAGATATTACAGACAGCCTAAAGGTTGCTGGAGTCAGGGCACTTGACTCTGTCGAGAGAGTAAGTCATCGAGATTCTTATTCTTTTTTGTGGTTAGTGTAGTGCCCATGCAATTTGTGTTCTTTTTTCCACATAACAATAAAGTTTAAGGGGCCTGTTACTTTGGCGTGAAATGTAGAATGTGAGACAGGCATCTCGAGCTTTCAAGCAAGGGAAGACTTTAATTGTATCAGGATTAGCTGAGTCAAAGAAAGAACATGGAGTTGAATTGCTTAATAAGCTGGAAGCTGGTATGGACGAGCTTGAATTGATTGTACAGGATAGGAATCGAGATGCGGTTGCACCGAAACAGAAAGAGCTTCTTCAATATGTTGGAGGGTAAGTATCTTAGTAGCCACATTTAGGTTTGTAAACCGCATGAAGATACCGAATTCCTGTCATTCCTATTTGTGCTTATAAGAGAAATAGCAGGGAGTTAGGCACATCAGTCCATATTTTGACTATGTCAAGGCTCAGGATTTCTCTTTTTGCAATAATAGATTGTGCTATAAATGGTTGTCCAATCATCTGGTTACTTTAGAATGGGACTCTTAATAGAAGTTAAGATTTACTAGATTCACATGAGCGTACTTTGACCAGGTAAACCACGTCATTTTCCTTAATCTGTTCCTGGGAACTTTCAGAAAGCGTTCTCTCGAAAGGTTTGGTTGCTTCAGTTGTTTGAATTAGGTTGTACCTTATATCTGTGGAGGAAATCACCATGATTTCTGGTGTTAACAAGAACTGTATCCTTTCCTAAAAATAGGAGGTTGAGGAGGACTTGGAAAATTAATATTCTGGAGGAAAGAAGACTGTTCTCTTATATAACCTTTCATTGACTGCAGCTGAGATGTTCCTGGGGCATTACGTTTCTGCAGTGTTGAAGAAGATATGGTCGATGGTTTCCCGTATGAAGTGCCTGAGGAGTACGGAAATATGCCTTTACTGAAAGGAAGAGCAGCTGTGGATATGAAGGTCAAGGTTAAAGACAACCCAAACCTGGAGGAATGTGTTTTCCACATAGTGCTTGATGGTTATAATGCCCCTGTTACTGCTGGAAATTTTCTTGATTTGGTAGAAAGACACTTTTATGATGGCATGGAAATCCAGAGAGGTAATAAATATAACATCAGCCATGAAATTTTGCTCCTCCTGATCTCCATTCAAGTATTGCTAGTTTTGCAGGGAATATTTTATATTCCCCTTCTTCAGCTTTGTTAGAGAATAATAGAAGATACATACTCGGTACCCTGATTCTACTCTTTGCACAAGAGTGGGCAGTGGGTATTCATATCACGCTTTCATATTCCCAATCAATGGCCAAAGTCGACAGTAATTTATATTTTGTAAAGGAAGCATTATCACATACCACTATGAAAAATGTATAGTTTTTTTTTATAATAATAATGATCCACAGATAGGATGTTTTCACTATTTGCTGCCCCACTTTTATTTGCATTTTGACCGAGATGTAGTTTCTTAAAATGTTTTCAATTTGTTCAGCGGATGGGTTTGTTGTCCAAACGGGTGACCCTGAAGGCCCTGCTGAGGGTTTCATTGATCCAAGTACAGAGAAAACAAGAACCATACCTCTAGAGATTATGGTGGTAGGAGAAAAGGCACCTGTTTATGGGGCAACCCTAGAGGTCAGCTGCAACTCTGCCCCTTGTTTGTGTATTTGTTCTTGTTTGATGTTCAAGTGTTTGGGAGCCAATTTAAGCCTTAGTTAAACCTTTTTGATGTTGATTATAATGTGTTTTCACAGGAGCTTGGTCTATATAAAGCTCAAACGAAACTTCCTTTTAATGCATTTGGAACAATGGCAATGGCAAGAGATGTGAGGATTTCATTTTTGAGACGTGATGTTGATTAATCTTAATCGATTATATGTACTACTAAATTTTTTTTTCATTTTACTGAAACTACTTTCGCGTTGAACAGGAATTTGAGAATAACTCAGCCTCTAGCCAAGTATTTTGGCTATTGAAAGAAAGTGAGCTAACTCCTAGTAATGCCAATATTTTGGACGGTCGTTACGCGGTATTTGGGTATGTGACAGAGAATGAGGATTACTTGGCAGATCTCAAGGTTGGTGATGTCATAGAATCGATTCAAGTCGTCTCTGGCCTCGACAATTTGGTGAATCCAAGCTACAAGATTGCTGGATAGGGATCTTTCTCTACTCTTTGCTTCCCAATTCCGCATAGGTTACGATGATTCGTTGCTGTTATGTTCTGCATAGCTTATTTCTTTTGTCTTAGAATTCCTTGTACAAGAACCTAACATTCATTTGTTCTGGGCGAGCATATTCTATTCTAGACTGAATTGTAGCCAATATGTATCACTGCTTGTAACTTCTATTGAATCAATTCCCAAATAAATTTGTGATTTTCCCTGGAACAAATGGTAGATCGCGTGGTTTAGGTACTAGCTCACCTCATCCTTATTAGAAGATCTCTCTGGCATTTTTCATAATATAACATATTCTATTTAAAGTATTAATTTTTTTTCTCACCTATCTCTGTTAAAATATAAAACTTTTTAATTATTAATCAAACTTCTCTAACTAACGACTTTTATGAAAGATAATTTTGATATTTTATAAAGGGAGTAATTGCTAGTGAATTAGTGAGTTGAAAAAACAAGTTTCCCTGCTGGCATGGTAAATCTTCACTTGTGATCACCAGAATTTGGTGGTCTTATGTTAACCTTAAATTAGGAAATAGAGAATTGATGCATTTATAAGAGTGAGCTGAGAAGCAAACTTGAGCTAAAACAGATCACTTGCAAGCTCATAGGACATGAAATGACGCGTCGGCTAACACAGTCGAAGTATGACTTACACAAATGGGGTGAAATGAGGATGAGCATAGTTAGCTTTACAAAAATCACAGCCCAACAGTGTAACTACATATTGCAGAACTCTTCATAACTTTTTCTGTGCATTTCATCTTTGATTCTCACATCCCTATGTATCATTTCAGTTAAAGAAATACGAATTGAGCCTCCATATTGCTAAAATTTTTGAAGTTTCAAGGTCCCCGATATCTTCGGAAACAAAGACAACCTTGGGGCTCATCATGAGGGATCATACCT